TCAGTCCAGTGGTCCACCCCCTAGGCCACACTGCCTCCCTATGTGGTACCTCAAACCAGGAGGCTCCTGCCAATGCTGGGTGATTTAGCAGATCTGTTTTGTAAAGGGCCCATCGCCATCCTCTAAGGCCAAAACAGGCCTTCCATGGCCCCACTAGCTGTATACATGGCTGGTGAGCAACACAGACTGGAGGGTGTCTGGGCCAACTTGGTTTTATTTATCCAGCCCTTAGAAATTGGTATTCTTACCATTAGTCATCAACGCTAAGTTCAGCTGCAAAGTTCAGAATCTGGTCTGATGTGGTGCTCAATAAGGGTTTGGGATGTTCATTCATATCTGTGCTTTCAGTGAGGCCATTACAGAGAAAAGGCTCAGTGGTGGAGTGGTTTGCTCAGAGGGGGAGGAGGCATTACATTCCCCATCCCTTGTTTCAGAGAGCTAGCCCTGTGTAAATCACAAGTGGTAAACAATCATCAGTGTAAAAAGTTGGGGCGGTCAGATTTGGACCTTCACCTTGTCTGTGCTTACCGGGCCCAGGGAGACGAGCTGCACTAGGAAATAAAACTGAGCAATATTCTGCATCCTCCCAACATGAGAAGGGAAGCTGGTAATGGCAATGCGCTAGCTTAGCACGAATACAGACACGCACGCGCACACACACACACTGCTGTGGTGGTGAATCCGCATGTGATACAATTCCTCATACTTCCAGCAGGTGTCAGCATAGAGCTGCTTAAAAATCTGAATCTCCCACCCAAATCCAGAAAGAGGCCAAATAAACCTTATGGACACAATTTTCCTGGGACTGCCTTATGCACAACTTCCTGCTTTCCAAGGAGGGACCACCTGTCTCAGACCAGCACTACTGGCTTCCAGCCACATAGTAGAGTCATTCCACAGTAACCTCTCTCCTGACAATGGATTTGCAACAGGTTAGGTTGGAAAATAAACTACGGTAGCTGACTGGGCTTGGCAAAGGCATCAAACTCGGGTCATGCGTGTGCTCCGTGCCTCAGTTTCCTTATTTGTGAAATTAGGATGGCAATACTTACTTTCTCAGCTTGGCACAGCACTCTGAGATCCTCCAAAGCAAAGTGCTAGATAAGGGCAGTTTCTATAGTCACTGCTACTATGGGGGAAGTCTGGTTCCAAACTCTGCCCGTCAGGCCCAGCTTTATGAAATGTAACACTTGAAATATATACAAACAGCAGGGTCTCCGGCTGTTAATGTGGCAGGCTGCGTGACAACAGCTCTCCCATAAGACAGTGTCAGTTGGAAATTAGTCAATGAATCCAAAGCCGGAAGCTGACCTGTCAAAGAATCTTCTGCCAGCTTTCCATGTAAGCCGGGTCTTAATCTCCTCTCCTCCATGCTCTTTGTGTTCATAGGCTAGATCAAAATCCTGCCAACCCACGTTTTCATTCAAACTGGTTGCAGGTGGAAGGGTGCTAGTCACCTTAACCTCAGCCCAATCCTGACATTCAGGAGAGGTCCTATACCCATCAGGGATTCTACAGGATCAGGCCCCAATATTAAATAACACAGGGCTAATAAACGCAGGATATGTCCACACCCCGAAGAGAGACTTCTTTTTGAGCCCACCAATGGCCCTAGCAATGTGCCCTATGCTTTCAAGCAAGGCGTGTTTCTTCCCTCTGCTGTGCTGTGTGATTTCAAGAAATCTGTTCCCAGGCGGGATGAAAGCACGAATTAGGCAGCAACTCTGGGTGATTGCAGTGTTTCTCCTTGTGACCAGTGACCACTTGGTGAACAGGAGAAGGCACACAGCTCACCCTCACAGACACGTGCCTGCCACCAGCATCACAGTAAGCAAGCAAAGACTGTGGGAGAGGACGCCATTTGAAAATGGTGCTAGAATGCCACGGCTTTGGTGTTCCAGCCCATCTCTTCAGACTTAAGTGCTTATTCAGTCATTTACATGTCCTCTCTTGTGCGCTAATCGCTAGCCTAGCATGGACACAGCTCAGCATCAGACTCCTTGCTGGTACCTATCACCTTCTGTGCAGGCACCCCGCCCCCAAGGCAAGAGCACTGCAGTAATGGGAAACTCTCCTGTTAAGTCCTCACTGATTTTGGCAGTGGCTGACGAGATGTGTGAGTGGCAAAGTCAGTGGTTTGGGGCACTTTTTAATAGAATGCTTTTGTTCATAAAAAGAAATGCTGTGTCAGCAAAACCAAAACTGCTTGCTGGAAGGCTCAGTTTCAACGCATTTCTTGACTCAAGTTGTGAAATGTTCCAAGCGTACAATCTGGACACTTTTCTACATGAAAGCTTATTTTTAACATTAAATATTTTTTAAACAAATGGTTAACATTTAAACAAAGTAGAAACGATTACAACAATATTGCAATTGACCTGAATCTTTATTTTTTTGCCTTCAGGTTTTCAGTTCATGAACATTTGTTGAGATTTTTTTTTTTTTTTTTACTTTTCAGCATGATCTGGGAAGAGAAAAATTTCCACAATCTCACATTTGATGAGACAGGGTGTCTGTTTCCTATCCCACCCTTGAGGTTCATTCTATGGAAAACTCTGGGAAAAACTGGACACTCTCAAGTGGCTACAAGCATCACAACTTGAAAATGTTATTCTCAGGTGAGGGCCAGATTTTGACACCCCTGTTCACAGTAAAAAGGATTTTCCTTCCACAATTATCTGGTAAAATCAGTTATAGCACTATTGGTGGGGTATGTTGTTAGTCAATGTGAATGAGGGATCTAGCCCTAATTTTCTTAAAGTCCATCCCTCAATTGTTTAGAAATATGTTGTTATTATGCCATCATTTTGGCAGTCCACACTGCAAACCAGTGTTAGTGCTTCTCCTGCAGCCCTGTTCCCACCTCTGGCAGAGTCTCACCATGATTCTGGTGCAGAAAGGAAATAAACAGAGAATAACATGTGCAGACCAATGTTTCCCAAACTTTTGAAACCAAGCTCCCATTTAGGAAAATGAAACGATGTGGACCCCTGCTGCTCTCTTGCCATGCTTCATTAAAAGGTCTGAATGTCTTAATGTTTACACCTTCCATACCTCTCTCCTCTTATTCACAGCTAGTTTCTTGTGCTAGCCCCCATGTTGGGCAACACCAGTAGCTCTCGCATTCTGTGATGAGCACTGATATAGCACAACATGTTGACATTTAGGGTACGTCTAGATTACATGCCTCTGCCGACAGAGGCATGTAAAATAGGCTACCCGACATAGTCAATGAAGCGGGGATTTAAATATCCCCAGCTTCATTAAAATAATGGCCGCCGTGCTGTGCCGGCTCAGCTGATCATCGGCACAGCGCACGAGTCAAGATGAGGATCGGTCGACAGGGGAAGCCTTTGTCGACTGCTCCTGTAAACCTTGTTTTACAAGGCATAAGGGAGCAGTCGACAAAGGCTTCCCTTGTCAACCGATCCTCATCTTGACTCGCGCGCTGTGTCGACGATCAGCTGGACCGGCACAACGTGTCGGCCATTTTTATTTTAATGAAGCCGGGGATATTTAAATCCTCGCTTCATTGACTATGTCAGGTAGCCTATTTTACATGCCTCTGTCGGCAGAGGCATGTGATCTAGATGTACCCTTAAAGTATAAGTGATACCTAACATTTTACATCATGCTAAGTAGTACTGTCAAGTGACTGTTTCAGGCTCTTTGCAAACTCAGGCAGACACTGCTGCATTGATTACACTCGAGTCATGTTTTCAAGCTTTTATTTGCCACTATAACAACCAGAGATTTTATCTAAAATAAAAACTGAGATTAAGGAGAACAGCTGAGAAGTCTGTCAGTGCCTTCCTGTAGTCCTTTGACCTCCCTATTTACGCAACATATACTCATACTGTGGCTGCTTTAGTCTAAGCAATACAAGGAGAAATTGCAGCAACTCAAAGTGTCATCTACAGAATTTGACCCAGAGTGAGCTGACGGTGGAGAATGGCTAATGCATCATAATACTTAAAGGGCTATAACATGTATAAAATGGAAAAACTCCTGGATTTATGCAATACCAGGGTTACACAACTAAAAGTCAGTAAATGCAAAAATTAAGGTTCCAAGAGCAATATTCCAGCAACTGTAATGCATACATGCATCCTATATGGGATTAAGGCTATTGGTAACAACAACAAACTGAAATATTTTAAGCTGAACATTGAAATGAAGTAAAGGACAGACATAAAATCAGTCTGGTTGAGTTAACAGCGTTTTTGGATCCTTATCTTCATTCATAAGGAATTTGGTTTTCTGACTTGGTTTTTTTCAAGGAAAAAATAGGACCGATAAAACGAAACATAGTACAGCAGCAACGCTGCGATAGCTAAGCCAGGAACTGAGCAAGTTAATAGGTACCAGTTGGCTACTATAATCATCTATTGAAAGCCAAAAACCTCATACACGCTAGCAATGAATATTTCCCATGCCCTGTTCACATGATCAGAACTTTAGTTAATTTCTGAACCGGCTTTCCCCCAACATCAGACCTAAGGCCTGATCTAAAGCCCTTTGCAGGGCTGCCAACAGAATCGTTGGCCCCTGGACAAGGTGGGAGGGGCAGCTTTGGGCCCCCAAAAGGGTCAGAAATGGGGACTCGCCTCCCCCAGCCAGCCCTTCAGCACTACCCAGCCTACACTGCCTGGGGCTCCATTGGTGATTTTAAAGAGCCCAAGGCTCTGGCTGTGGCCACGAGCCCCCTGGCCCTTTTAAATCTCAGGCCGTGGGGCAGCTGCCCCTCTTTCCTGACCCTCTGAAGTCAGTGGGAGTCTCTGAATGAGAACCCATGTCAGTTCCAGTGAAGACTATGAACATGCCATGTTTCAAGTTATGAAGCTCAGCTGTGTTGCAATACATGCGAGAAAAAGGTGTGACACGTTTTAAATGCCCTCCCCCGCCTCCCACCCATCAACCCTCCTCAGAAAGAACAAAAGCGATTTCCCTCAGACCGGCAAGAAATTAAAACTCACCTTTGGGCCGAGAAAGGGAGCACACAGGCCTGGTAACGTACATCCCAAGGGAGAATGTGTCAGAGCTATGAGCAAGCAAAATAGGAGGTTGGAACAGAAGCCATTTTACAACCTTCCCAAAATGTTTGTTCCCATTAATGAGCTAATAAGGGGCAAGAATTGTCACGTGGCCAAGGCAAGTCACCTTTGGGGGAGAGTTTCCTCAACAAGGGCAAACAGAAGTAGGGCGAACAAAAGAAGCCAGCAAAACAATGTTCCCTTTTTATATGAATAAAATTTTATTGAATTTTAGACCATTAGAAAGAACAAAGAGAGGAGTGAACAGTCTCATGAAGGGTGTCACCAAAAGAGTTTCCCCAACACTAAAGCAGGGCTGCCCAGGGACAGCATCCCTATAAACCTCACGGAGTTGTTGCACACGCAGAGAGAATTTGTTGGGATTTTGTTTTTCCACCGTAGGATTTTGAAAGCCACTCTCCCCCTCCAAGCAGGAGACTGGTCCCTGTGAACGGTGTGTAAACCAGACAGCCCTGCACCTGGTGTGCTGGGGATGTTTGCAATGTCTGTGGACAGAGCTGGGGAGGACGGGGCAGCAATGGGGTGGGTTGGCTTTTGTTTTTCTTTAAGCAAAGAAGGCACAAAAATCTCAGCCAAGCGTCAAAACCAGTGCAGCCCAGGCAGCCTTCAGTGCAATGCCTGTGCTCTCACAGGGTCCAGGAGACTCCCAGCAGTGGCTGCGAGAGCACGAAAGAGATGGCCCCTGCAGCGTCTGTGCCATATGGAAAGGAAAGCAAGGGAGGATGCAAGGATGAGAGTGGCTAATTTATACAGCTCCCTCTCCGAATGCAGGAGCAGCGATGGGGATAGTAGCCTCCCTTTCCTAGTGCTAAGGGGGAGCCTCTGATGCTTTAGTGGGGTTGGGAGGGGTATATCAGTGTCAGCATTATGAAGGAGGTGGGCGTGGACCTCAGTTTGTGGTGCCACCCTCCTTGAGGCATCGGGATCCAGCCCCTTGGGCTCCAGCCCCCTTGTAGCAGCAGGACCTTCAAATGGTTTGGACCCTCAGCTTTGATTAAGGCTATTTAGTCACAAGAGAAAAACCTGGCTGTATGTACACAGGTGTGGCATGGAGGCCACAGAGCACCCTGCACAGCTGCCAGTGTGAGGTGCCCCAGAGACCCGAGCACCCTGACTGGAGGGAAGAGGCAAGGGAGAGCAGCAGACAACTGGAACACCGCCCCATGGGCCTGCCCCCCTCCCCCACGCTTTTGCTCTTTCTGAAGAGCGGGATTTAAAACCAGACACTGACAACCCCAGCATTCTGCAGAGAGGAGTAAATGTGGTGCCTCCGAGTGGGTTCCCCCACCCACAGCTCAACAAGCACCATGCTGGCTCCATGCAGGCCAGCCCCAAACAGCCCAGTAGGGAGAACCTGCCATGCAAAGGCCAAAGCTGGGCCCAGCCCGTTGAGAAAGGCAAGCCGCATGCCCAGAAACAGTGCGGCTCTTCAGCCGTGGGGGCGTTGGGCCAGCCCTGCGGGAACTGTCACCTGCTTCCCACCCCCTCTCGATTCCGCGACCCCTCTGAGGAAACTCAGCCTCGTTCCACACGGCTGCCGGGGGAAAGAGGCCCCGGCGGCAGCAGTTTCTAACACGGTGAAGGGGGTTCCAGAAGCATCCAGACCTAGTGCAGGAAACCGTCCAGTGTGAGGAGAGAAGGAAACAAAAATAAATAAAAGACCTTCCGAGCCCATCCCCCGCCCCGTCCACTCTGTTCTGGCTGGTGGGTCCGTCTCTGCCTCCTCCCTTTGAAGTTGGCCTGGAGTGGCCAGCATCTCGTCGCTCCCCTCTCCGATTCTGTCACCCGTCCTAGGGCTGGCGGAGGTGGCCTGAGCAGCAGAGCGATGTCCTCTCTGGGAAGGCCCCTCCTTCTGCCCCTTCCAGCTCTCCTCGTGAATCCCACCCGGCTCGCCCACCCTTCGGAAATCAAAAACCCCAAGCCCCACCACAGGCAGGGATTAGGAACAAACAGGCATCCCTGGGCCTGGTTCCCATGGCGCCCCTCCCGTGGTCTTGGCACATCTGTGAGATCCAGCTGGTGCAGAGGAGACCCCTGAGATCCCGAGGGCAGAGTGGCAAGGGCAGGCCCATCGCCTTGGTAGGCTAAAGTGTATTGCACCAGGAAGAAGCGCTCTCCCCCTTCATCGTGTTTCACAGAGGAAGAGGAAGGTCTCTTGGCCAGGTCTTCACCCCATCTGGTACCATAGCTTCTTGCTTTTCTTACGCCCTCTCTCACTTTCTACACTAGGGAGCCTGCCCGGCTCTGGGCTGGCACCATGACAGGCACAGCCCCTATCCGCTCCAGCGTCGCCTGGCTCACGGCATAGGAGCGTGTGTGCTGAGGCCTGGGTTTCCGGCTGACTGAGCCATTGCTCCTGGCCACCTCCTGTGGGGACGGTGCAGTGGTGGCTGTCACCACCAGTGTCTTGGGGGGAGCTGGGGATGGGTGGCCTCCGTTGGCATAGACAGGGCGGGCGTTGGTGCTCCCAGAGCGGGAGAAGGGCTGGCGCACGTCATTGTTGTTGCTGAAGCGGGTGAAGGAGTCTGTGGCGTGATTGGCTTTAGGGTCATTCCAGTAACGGCTGTTGTAAGTGTTGGAGGAGGTGAGGGTGTCATTCTCCGAGGAGGATGCGTCCCCATGGAACGCTTTTGTGGATGCTGAGCATTTCGGTGGTAGGTCATCCTCCCTAGAGAGAGAGAGTAGGAGATCAGAATCCTGCCTAGAACCCACTTGCAACCCTCACCTCCCTCCACAGAGCAGTTAGAACCTGCTAGAAGAAGTAAATGAAGGCAGATGAATGGTTCTGTTTTCCATTTTCAGTCAGAAATGCATTCCCATTTCAACATTTTTTTATTTTAATTTAAAATGCTGAAACACTTTTTAAAATGCTGAAAGCCAAAATGGAATGTTTTGTTTGACCCAAAATGAATCATTTGAATTTTTTAGCACATCAAAAAAAATTGTGAGCGAGATAGAGGGAGACTGAAACAAAGTGGGATTTTTTTTTTCCATAATGACTAGCCTACCAAAAAATTGGTTGCTCACACAGCTCTAGTGGTAGTGGTGATTACCGGTGCTTGGAGATGCACACAGTGACCAAGTACACCATCCCAGCCTGTTCACATATCCCCTGTTCTGACTCTCATCTTAGTTTTTGTTAATTGTCCCGCCTGCTCATATCGTGCCACTGAGGCAAAAATCCCATGGGAAGCAGGTGTGTGTGTGTGTGTGTGTGTGTGTGTGTGTGTGTGTGTGTGTGTGTGT